CTGTTTATGTGGGTGTATATGCATAAAACTATCCAAGGGTTGTTGTCTATCGTGACATATTGACAATTTTAGTGATAAATGCAGTACTTACGTCGAGAAATTCGCTGCGGACGCGAGCTGATCTTTACCCCTGGGGGTATAACGAACAGATTGTCTTCCATCTCGAATGCAACTATTCACCTTAGCTCGTCTTTATATTTTTGTTTCATCTGCGGTGCAACTTAATGGTGATGTCAGTACTTTGTATTTAGTTAACTGTCAGCAACAGCAACTCAGGTCGAATTAGCTCGAACTACCCATCCATTTTCAAAGGCTCAGATGATAACCTAGAGATGTGTCATTGATGGTAAATGGGTGAATATAGATCGGATACTATATTATTATATATAAATCGGGAAGTTTTTGTTTACTAACTATACTATACTATACTATACTATAGACAAGAAGAGGATATCACCACAAAGCCGCCGTGTATTTCTTATTATTTGTACTCAACTTTTTTAACAGATTTGGGCGATAAATACACAAAGCAGCAGTGAACCAGTGACTCTAAAGAGATTTTTTTCCGACTTCATCAAGTGTCAGTGAATTATTATCTGTTTAAAATTTAGACATTATTTTTTTTTTCATGAACAATCGGCCTACCTCAATACGTTTTCAATTGTTCAACGTTTATATTGGACTGGCCCCAAGAGATTGCTCCTAAATAAATATACAGGTGTCAATATGTTCAGAGTCCTGATGTTGCAAGTTTTCAGATGATTTCCCCACTCGTTTAATTCGCATACTAGGACATAGGTTGACACTGTTTTGTCTTTTGATCGGCATTCGATTCAAAGGTCGTACATCGAACACATAAGCGTTTAGGTTCAACTTCAAAATTGGCATTGCCCTCAGTCTGGATTATGTCATTTTGGGTCTCGAGCGAAAGCCGGATATCAAGTTGCGTAGCGGGAACCGTACTTGTTTATTTTTAAACGGCTATTTATGATGATATGAAATTGGACCACTTTTATGAGATTTTTTATTTGATTTTTTAATCACAAAACAAACAATAGTTTTAGAATTTAGACTGTGAGAAAGTGAGAGTTGAGACTGATGAGTCTATTTAGTAGTACAAAGTTTTATAAAAAAACGGATTGAGGTCAGTCAGCTGCCAGATCTCAGCTTTTATATTTTATGTTTTTTAAAAAACAAATATGGCTTTTTCCCATATTTTGTTTTTCAAACAATTCAAAAGTAGATCTCTAGTAGAGTACAATACGTACGGAAGGCCCAAAAATCAACCCCGTTTATAAATATAAAATATAAAATTGCCACCCGGTGTTTTATACCGATGACTAAACAGAAACGCCATCCACACCGCGGGCAAATGAGCTTATTTTCTCATATGAGAATATAATCAAATATTTACAAATTTGTCATCATTTTCTCTCTCTTGTGTGTGTGTACCGAACCCAGAGTTGCACCCACGGCCCCTCGGGCGTAGAACGTGTGAAATGTGAATATACGACGTAAATAAACACTACAGAAATAAATCAAGTACAACAGTAATATTCAAATATTAGTTAGGCATATTCCCTCATACCTATCGTCAGCAGATCAATGTATAGAAGCATATTTATTGTATGCACCTAGTCTTAACCATTGTCTCATACGGATGCCTTTCAGTATCTGAAGGGGAGTCACATAAACCTTTCACGATATTTGAAAGTTCTGATAGCGTTTATAGTGATCTATTACAATTCAGTGCTAATAGATCATCATTGTTTACTATACCAACTAGTAATTTGTCAGCCATTGAAGATCTGTTTCTGTAGGTATGTACACAATTTTAAATATGAAATAACTTCTTGGCTACTGTTTTTCAGGAAAAGTACAGCCCTTGCGTCTTGACGCAATGAGTCTGATATATGTATAGGGTTCACATCCGACCATAGAAGGAATTATGAATTAACTACAGCAGAACTATTTCGATATGAATGATTCCATATATATATATGTGTGTGTGTGTATATATATATATATGTATGTGTGTGTGTGTATATATATATATATGTATGTGTGTGTATATATATATATATGTGTGTGTGTGTATGT